CTCCAGGTCCTGCGAGAGGGGAGGCGGCCGGGTCCCTGGTGTCTCAGGAAGCGGAAGGCCGGTCGGACCCGAGGAGGACCCTCCCAGGTGCCCGGGTGACCCCCTGCCCCGCACAGCAAGGCCCCTCTGTCCGGAGCAGCCCTCAGCCCATTGCCTGGGGGGCTGTCCCGTCCCCGTGTGACCGGCCTGGGCCTGGGGCAGGGGCGCTGGAGTGCCTGGGAACTTGGAGCATGGTCCGCCGGCCTCCCCGCCCAGGCCGCTCGATCCCATCCTTGTCATGCGTGGTCGCCTGCACCATCTGCTGGGTGCCTGACCCCTACGCCTGGCTGCGGCCGGCGGCCACTGGCGCTAACGGCCGGATGAGCTGTGGCTCCCAGAGCTGGGGGCCAGGAGACGGGTGCATGCAGGCCTGGTTACGGGGGGTGGGGAGGGGAGGCAGCGACAGCCCTGCTGTGGCAGCGCCTCCAAGACCCCGGCCCAGAAGTCCACTGCCGCTGCGGCCAGAAGTCCAGGTTCCCTGCCAGGGCTGGCCCTGCTGGGCTTCCCGGCCCTGCTGGGCAGAAAGGAGCTGCGGTGGCAGGGCCCCAGGGCCGAAGGGCTGTCGCGTGCAGCGGGCAGGGCCTGGTCACTCGGTGTGTGTGGCCAGGTGGGTGGGCGGGACCGCTCTGCAGCGCTGTCTTCCCTGTGGACTCTGGGGCTCCAAGAGGAGGAGCCCCGGCCCGGTGGTGGGCGTCTCGGGGAGGGGCAGGGTGGGGGAACCTGGGGGGCTGGCCCACCTCTCGGTGCCATGTCAGTCTCCTCCAGGACTGCCCACGCTGCCCGCCCTCGGGTGCCCCTACTGGGATCCTCCAGGCGGTGTCTGCCTCCTGACACCCCCTCTCTCAGGCATGCCCATCAGGCCCACACTGGCCCCGTGCCGACTCCAGGCCTCTGTCTGTGGGGCCACCAGGCTGTCCTGGCTAACCGCTCCAACGGGCCCTCCCACTGGAGCCACCTCCACCTAGGAGTCCACTCCCCTAGACAGCGCCCCAGCCTCCCCTCGGTCCCCAGAGGTGCAGGGGGTCCCCCACCTCCAGAGGGCCTGCTCCTTCCAGGACTCGTGGAGGCGAAGGGGATGGGGAGTCCTCCACCAGGGCCCCTAGAGGCAGGTTCACGTCAGGCATTTCCTTTCAGCTATCTGCATTTTTAATAATAAGCCAAATTCCTCATGTTAAAAATATTCTGAGCCACTTTAAACATTTCTCATAGAGTTAAATGGAAATCTAATAAAATCTGTGAAAAGTATTTTTAAAACAGCTTTATCGAGGTATAATTTACATACCATGAAGTCCACCCACTTTCAACGACTTCAATGAGCCGCCCACAATTCAATGATTTTAGTAAAATTTCCATGCAGCCACCACCACACAGTCCAGTTTTAGCAGGTTTGACGACCTCCTGTCCTCGTAAGCAGTCACTCGTCCCCCACCCCAGCCCCCGGCACCCAAGCTCCTGCTTTCTGTCCTCATAGACTTGCCTTTTTTGGACATTTCACATAAACAGAATCTACACTTTGTAGTGTTTGCTGTCTGGCTGCTTTTCTCAAGCACACACATTTTGAAGTTCATCCATGATGTAATGGGTCCAAAGTTCATTCCCATAAAAATATTCCATGGTGATGGTAGTGTTGTTCAGTCACGTACAACTCTGAGACCCCGTGGACTGCAGCATGCCAGGCCTCCCTGTCCATCACCAACTCCCAGAGCTTGCTCAGACTCATGTCCATCGAGTTGGTGATGCCATCCAACCATCTCATCCTCTGTCGTCCCCTTCTCCTCCCGCCTTCAATCTTTCCCAGCATCAGGGTCTTTTCCAAGAGTCAGCTCTTTGCATCAGGTGGCCAAAGTATTGGAGCTTCAGCATCAGTCCTTCCAATGAATATTCAGGACTGATTTCCTTTAGGATTGGCTGGTTGGATCTGCTTGATGTCCAAGAGGCTCTCTAGAGTCTTTTCCAGCACCGTAGTTTGACAGCATCAGTTCTTCAGTGCCCGGTCTTCACGGTCCCCTCTCACATCTATACATGACTACTGGAAAAATCCCATTGCAGAGAGCCATTTTGCTTATCCGTTCACTAGCTGATGGGTATTTGGGTTGTTTCTCCCCCCACACTTTAGCTCTTATGAATAAGATTGTTATGAACACGTGTGTACATGTCTCCATGTGCACATACATTGTCATTCCTCTTCGGCAGATAATTCGCCATGGGGCTGCTGGGTCATCTCTGTGTAACTTTTGAAGAAACTGGCTCTGTGTTTTGTGTCCACACCAACAATATACAAGGTTTCCAATGTTCCCATGACCTTGTCAATGCTTGTTATCACCTTTCATTTTTATTTTCACCGTCCTAGTGGGTGTGACACTGTTTTGCGTTTGGTTTCAATCTGAATTTTCCTAATAACTAATGATGCTGAGCATCTTCTCACGTTTGATGAGACATTTCACCAAAGAAGATACCCAGCTCCCCTCCTCCTCCTTTTGTGAAATGTCTCATCAAACACTCCGCCTGTTTTCACTGGGGCTGCTTTTTTTTTACTGTTCTTTAAATTTTGATATATGTTTGTGAAGCGAGTGAAAGTCACTCAGTCGTGTCCAACTCTTTTCAACCCCATGGACTATACAGTCCATGGGATCTTCCAGGCCAGAATATTGGAGTGGGTAGCCTTTCCCTTCGGGGGATCTTCCCAACCCAGGGACGAGCCCAGGTCACCAGCATTGTAGGCGGATTCTTTGCCAACAGAGCCGCAGGGAAGCCCATGTGTGTTTGTAAATTGTGGTAAAACATACAGAAGAGTGTTAAGTGTATGGTTGTCTCATTTTGAGTTGTGAGTGTGCTTTGTATAAATATACAGAACAGTTTAGAGTGCGTGTTTGTCCTGTTCTGAGTCGTGAGTATTCTTTCGCACATGTGATTGAGGACACTCACCCCCGTTTTCATCACCTTACTGCTGCCGTTTGAGGCACAGAACACTTACTGTTGACCAACCCCGATCTCCTTTCCCCTGGATTCCGTCTTTAGTGCTATACCGGAACACTATGCATAACTCAGGGGCACAGAGATTTTCTCTGACTTTTTAAAGGTTTTATAGCTTTAGCTCTCTCATTTAGGTTTATGGTTCATTTCAAGTTAATTTTTGTGTATGGTGTGAGGTAAGGGTCCAAACTCCTCTGTCAATGTGTGAATATCCACTTGTCATGGCACCATTTATTGAAAAACTATCCTTTCCCCACTGAAAACTGTGGAACCTTTGCCACAAATCATTTGATCATGAATCTGCGGGCTCATTTCTGGACTTTCGATCCTGTTCCATAGAACTGCGTGTCAGTCCTTACCCCCAGAACATGCTGTATCTGCTGCTGTGGCTTTATTATAAGTTTTACAATTGGAAACTGTAAATTCTCCAACCTTGCTCCTTTAAAAAATTGTTTTGGCTATTTTGTGTCCTTTACATTTCCATATACATTTTATGGTCAGATTATTGATTTCTGGCCCCCTTAAATCTGCTTGCATTTTGATAGGGATTGCATGTATATGTGCTCAGTCGCTCAGTCCTGTCTGACTCTTTTGTGACCCCATGGACTGTAGCCCACCAGTCCATGTCTCTGTCCATGGGGTTTCCCAGGCAAGAATACTGGAGTGGGTTGTCATGCCCTCCCCCAGGGGATCTTCCCAACCCAGGGATCAAACCCACATCTCCTGCACTGGCAGACAGATTCTTTACCACTAGTGCCATCTGGGAAGCCCAGGGATTGCATTCAATCTGTTAATCCATTTGGGGAGTACTGGCATCTTACAATATTGAGTCTTCCCCCACAAACTCTGGGAAACAGTGAAGGACAGGGAAGGCTGGCGTACTGCAGTTCACGAGGTCGGAAAGAGACACGACTTTGTGACTGAACAACCACCCCCATGAACACTGAATGTCTCCCTGCTTATCTAGACCTCTTTAATCTCTCTCAGAAATGCTATGAGATTTACGTGTACAAGTCTTGCCTCCTTTTGTTAAACTTACTCCTATCCATTTCACTTTTGTTCAATGCTATTGTAAATGAAATTGTTTTCTCAATTTCCTCTTTGGCTTGTTCATTGCTAACCCATGGAAATGCGGTTGGATTCTGTATGTTGATTTTGGGGGCTGGAACCTTGCTGAACTCACTCATTAGCAGCTTTCTTCCTCTATGACCGATTGCCATTTGGCCCCAAATGCGTCACAAATGCAGAAATGGATGGTTTCTGGTGGAGGAAAAAGGAACCTTCAGGTAAATGGAAAGTACCAGGAAAATAATGGAGAGGAAGACATTTAGGGAAATGACACTAGAAGCTTTGAAGTCTTTAACTCCTGCTCTTGCCACTAGCCCGAGTGTGCGTGGAGCTGACCCTAATTAACATACGAAATGGCTGGAAAACTGATCTGACCAGCAGACCTCCACCCAGGTCTCAGACTAAGCACGAGGCATGCACACGGGGACAGACCTGAGTAGAACAGCAAACACTGGATATCACTGAACGCCTGAAGCAGAGCCCGTGGGAGACCAGCGTTCTCCACTGGCGGGGGGAGACCTGTAATCCTCGGATGTCAGGGATAGAAGCTGAAGTCACCTGGTGCCCACAGAATGTAAAATCTCAACCCACAGAAGAAAAGACAACAGACACAAACAGTGGGATGCCACAGATAATTTGAACTATCTGACTGGGACTCTAAACCAGCTTTTAACCAGAAACTACAAACAGCCTTGACAAAATATTAACAGAATGACTCAGCAAAGAAATAGAAAGATACAAAGAAGCAAACGGAAATTTTGGAACTGAAAAATTCAATAAATGAGGCAAAACAAAACTTACTGGGTGGTTTCGCTAACAGAATGGAGATGACAGAGGAAAGAATCATTGAACTTGACAGATCAGTAGAAACTGGTCTTAGACTATTTGTCTTAGACAAATTGGTCTTAGACATTTCATGTCTAAGAAATAGTCAGAGATGTTAAAGAATGAACAGTCTCAGGGACCCATGGGGTCGTGACAGAGGGGCTGGATTTGTGCTGCTGAAAGTCCCTGAAGAAAGGAGAAAGACTGTGGGCTGAAAAAAATACTTTGAGGAAATAACAGAAAACTAAAGAAGAAATGGGTTTCTCTGGTGGCTCAGTGGTAAAGAATCTACCTGCCAATGCAGAAGACTCATGTTGGATCCCTGGGTCGGGAAGACCCCTGGAAGAAGGAAATGGCAACCCACTCCAGTATTCTTGCCCAGAGAATTCCATCGACAGAGGGCTGCAGTCCATGAGGTCACAAAGAGTTGGGCATGACTGGGCGACTAAATAACAACAACAAGGAAGAAATACTGACAATACCAAGTGTTGACGAGGGTGTGAGGCCACTGGAACACTTGGACGCTGATGCTGGGAAGGCAGAGTCACATGGCCGCTCTGGGAGGTGCTTTCTCAGTTTCGTATGCAGGTAACTGTATACTTACTGCCAGATACAGCAATCTTGCCCAGACATTTATCCCAGAGCAATGGAAATGTGTGTTCACATGGAAACCTGTACACAAATATGGCCAGAGGCTTTATTTGTAACAGCTGAAAACAACCCAGACATCTTTCAATGGGTGAACTGTGCTGATCTACACCATGGAATACGACTGCATCATAAAAGAAACAAACTTGACTCACAAAACCTCCCAGATGAATCTCAAAGGTGTTACAGAGTAAGAGAGACCAGTCCCAGCTGTCTTCTGCCTGATTCCATCCACGGAGAACATCGTACCATCATGGAGAATGTCAGCGGTTGCCAGGGGTTATGGTGGAGAGAAGTGTGCCCCAAAGTTATGGCAGGGGCAATTTGGGGGTGATGTAACTGTGTGTATCCTGTGACAGTGACAGCTATCCAAATGTGTTAAAATTAAGAGAACTGTACACCAAAATCAAAAAAGTCAATTTTTAATTGGGGGGGAGGATAAATAACATTTCGCCCTACACCTGAAGCTAACACAACATTGTAAATGAACTACACTCCAATATAAAATAAAAATTGAATCAAAACGTCAATTTTACCATTTAATAATTAAAGTGAGACGTACAAGATATTTTTAAATCATGTTTCAGGCAGTGTTTACACGCGCCAGGGCTTTCTCCTTCGCACGCGTTCTCCCGCGGGCGAGGGCACCGCGGCGCGCTCGGGCCTCGGGACGCACAGCCTAGCGCGCGCCCGGGAGCTGATCGCGTGTTCTGCGGTCCCTCCCGGGAGGGTCAGACGCGTGACAGACACTTGCAGCCCAAGGCGAGGGAGGCGTCCTCACACGCTCAGCTCAGGCGGTGCGCGGCGGCGGGAGACGTGGGCCCCGGAGCCCAGCCCCGGCTCGCTGCAGAGGCGACGCGAGCCTCCGCAGACCGTTCCGAGTCCCCCCTCCCCCTCCCCGCCCTGCTCCCGGAGGCCTCGAGGCCAGCTTCCCGCAGCAGCCGCGGCCCTTTCCCCTCGCCTTCCAGGGCCGGCCGAGCCCCAGCCTCGTCCCGAAGGCCCGCCCCGCAGCTGCCCCCCTCCCCACCTGCTCCCCGGCAGGCCTCCGGCGCACCCCCCCCCCCCCCCACACCGGGGGATCCCGACCCTCCGCTGAGGGACCCGGCGGAAACCAGAACTTGAGGTTGGGCGGGTCAGTGGCGGCCGGCTCTGCCCTCCACCCCTGGTCCGCCCCGCGGCTGAGCCCCAGGCGCTTCTGGGGCTCGAGGGCTGGGAGCGCCGCGGGCGCCCGCGCCGTCGGAGCTGCAGGGGCCGCCCGCCCAAGGCGCCAGGTGCCACTTCCTGTTGGAGAGGCAGGTGCACCCACCCGGCGAGCTGCGTCACCCCAGCGCCTCTTTCCCAACGGCTGGGCACACGCCCTCCCCAGGGGTCACGGCTGCGTACACGCCCAAGGGCCAGACGAGCCCCCAGTGTCCCGACCCCGCGGCAGTCATCCAGTCCCTGGCGTCTCCCAGGTCCCACCTCCCCTCAACCCGCGTTCTTGCGCGGAGGGTCCTCGCACCTCCCAGTCTCCCGCGCGCCCCCAGCCCCTTCCTGCACACCCCGCGCCCAGACGCTGCATCCTCCGGCCCGGGGGTCCAGCCTGGAGCCCGCTCCCCAGTGGGGCCAGTGTTCACACCCGCCCCACCACCCTCTGTGTCCTGTGCCAAGGTTGTGTCAGTGGCACCCAGCGAAACGTGGAAAAATATGTTTAAACGTGCAAATGAAGAGTTTTAGAAAAAAAAGCGTCAGTGGTCTCAAAGTAATAAACAGCCATTTTAAAAGAATTAATCAGAATCTTACTGGAAGCTGTGCTCATGATGGTTCTTCAGGAGCGACTGCCCTTTGCGTTCTGACCAGAAGAAGGGGAAGGGGGCGCCTGTTGCTGGGGGCTGGCGGGTGGGCGCACACCTGCCCGAGAGGTGCCCCCGAACAGTGGGCACTGCTGCCAGGGAGCCCCGCTGCCAGGACCCAGCGCCCAGCCCTGCCTGCCCAGCTGCCTCGCCTTCCTCTGGCGACTCCACTGGACACCCAAACCCTGGCCTCGGCTTGACCTCCGGGGACCGGAGAGCAGGCAAGGACAAGCTGCTCCACACTCCTCGCTGCAGAACCCAGCTCACGACAGCAGCCCACTCCCTCTACACAAGTACCGTTCCTGCAAACCAGGACCCCCCTCGAACCACCAAGCACTTTGAATCCTAGCAACTCCGAGGTATTGCCCGTTTCTTTGGTCATACTGGGGACCACCCTGCTCTAAATGGCACCCTCCCACACACACTTCCTGTTTGCTTTCTCGGCCTCCATCTTCTCACACTGGGCACTCATATAAGTGACAGGTTCAGCTGTGTGTGAGCTGTCTCCCCCGCGCAGAGGTCAGCTCCAGTTAGGTGACTGATGGCTCTGTTTGCCCTGGGTTTAGGGCTGAGAATCCCTGACCAGCTCAGGGCAGACCAGACGTGGCCCCCAGCCCCAGGGCCGGTGCTGTGTGCTTCCAGTGCTGGGGCAGGGCGGCGCCCAGCAGGTGCTCAGGGACTGCTGGAGGAACGAGGGGTTGAACGGGTGAGGCACACAGACCCGGTTTACCTGTGAGCTCTGGCGGGGGGAGGAGGGAACCCGTCATCCCTCGCCCTGGGGCCTGAGCGCATCGTACTCTCCTGCAGAGGTTGGCCAGGCTGGGGAGGGGAGGTCCTGCTGAAGGAGGGGCCTCTCACTGGCCGCGGCAGCAGGCCTGTCGGGCTCCGGGGGCGTGAGGAGAGCCCAGCTCAGAGCCCTGAGCTGAGTGCCACCACCATGCGGGGGCAGCACATACTGGACAGCGGGGCAGCTGGGACCCTGGGGCACCCCTCCCCACCTCAGCCCTGTGGCCAGGCAGGTCCTTAGTCCTGGAGAGGAGGGAAGTCATTCCCCTGTCTGCGCTTCTGGTTCCCCTATCTGGGATGGCCAGGACTGCTGCGAAGTCGTGGGGGACCCTGCATCTGGTCAGTTCCAGCACCCACCGCCCCCAGCCCCGCCGGCCAACCCACCCCTCCCACCTCCTCCAGGAGGTCAAGGATTCCTTCCAAGGGAGGCCCTGGGTCAAGGCCGCAGTCTCTGCACAGGCAGGGACCCCGAGGTGGGCCAGGCATGCGAAGCCGGAACTTGTGGTGTGGGGACCTTGGTCCCCACCTCCCTCTGTGCCTTGATGGAGAGGGGGCACTTGGGGTGGACAGGGGTCTCCAGAGGACAGCAGGAGCACTTGCGTGAGCCCAGAGCACAGCCCACCGGCCTGCCAGGGGCCAGGCCTGGCCAAGGTGAGGGGGTTCGGCTGCAGTCACACCCTCCACCCCACTTCAGGGGGCACACGCGGCCCCATGGTCCCCCAGTCCCCACGAGGGCTCCCTGGCCCTGCCGACCCCTTCCCTGTCCTCAAGGGAAGCAGCGAGCCAGGCAAAGAAGTTTCTGAGCGAGGGGGCACGTGGGCTGTACCAACCCCTCTCCGTCGGCTGGAGGCAGCAGCTCGCACTAAGGGAGCGATGACGAGATGTCCAGCGGCCTGCGTCCAGCTAATGAGGCACAGCCCGGCCGGGCCTGGAGGTAGGTGCGCATGCGCAGACGCAGCCCTGCTCACGCCCAGGGGTGGGGCCCGGCCCCCCGGTCAGGTGAAGGTGACTCCAGACAGCAGCCCGGCGGGGCGGCCCGGTGGTCCTTATGAGCTGGCAGGAGGGTCCTGTGAGGGCAGGCCCAGCCGGCTGACTGCTGGGCGACCCCTGGTCTGGGACACAGAAATGTCGCTGCAGGGCCAAGGAGCCCCTGTGGCTCTTGAGCAATGATGGCACTTGATGACCTCAGGGATGCGACATGTCTGAGAATGGCTCGTCCTGGCAGGTGGCCCCTGAGACCAACGGAGTGGCTGACCCTCACCGCACTGTCCTGGCTGGGGGTCTGGGGAGTGGAAGGTGGTCCGAGCTCTGGGGGCGTGGGTGCAGGGTGGGTGCTTGGGTGGTGGGCGTCAGGTTCTTAGCAGTCTTTGAAGGGTGGGGGCTGGTGAAGGCCTATTCTGGGCCCCAGGGGGCACCCAGGGTGTGGACCCCAGCCCGTGTATGAGTGTCCTGGCCCCCCAGACCTGGTCAGCTCCAGGAAGGGTGGGGTCACACCCTGCACTCCAGAGAACCTCGTGTTCAGGGCCAGGGATGCTGGCCCTGACCCCAGGTGGTCCAGAGGGAGCCTGCACCAGGCTGAGACGGGTGCGTCAGGGGCTAGGCCATCTGGGGAAGGGGCTACCCATGGAGCTGTTCTGTTGGCCCCACTCAGGGTTCAGGAGGGGCTGGAGGGCGTTCCTCTGACCCAAAGTCCCAGAACGGCCCAAGGGCCCGAGGAGCTGCAGACCTTTGGAGACCCGAGAGGTACACAGGCCCTGGTCTGGGGCCACTGCATGCCCTGAGGCCTAGCCTTCGCAACAGAGGCCTGGACTGTCCAGATGTGAGCTGGCCCCTTGCCACATGCCTGCAGTCGGGCCTGGCACCCACGTCTTCTTGGTGAGACACTTGGCCTCAGGCTGCTGTCCCCTGGGTGGCAGCTGGGGAGAAAGGAATGGCGGGCTGACTCAGGCAGCCTTGTGTAGGGGCATAGACCCCCCCTCCCCCAACCATCTGGTGGCTCAGACGGTAAAGCGTCCGTCTGCAATGCAGGAGACCTGGGTTCGATCCCTGGGTCAGGAAGATCCCCTGGAGAAGAGAATGAGAGCCCACTCCAGTATCCTGGCCTGGAGAATCCCACGGACAGGGTAGCCTGGCAGGCTGCAGTCCATGGGGTTGCAAAGAGTCAGACACAACTGAGCAACTAACACTTTCACGTTCACTTTTCACACCCCCCCAGCCCACCTCCGACTATGAGGTGGAAAGGAGAGGGAGATGAGACCCCACCCTCTCAGGACCCCCTGCCCAGTCCTGCCAAGCCTGTGCCCGGGCAGCAGGCAAACGTCCGTCTTCCGGGGAGTCCACCCTGACCCCAGGAGCAGTATCCCCCCAGGTGCCCCGGCTCCAGCTGGGCTCAGGTGCTCTCACTGTTCACAGGACTTGCCCAGTGTGGCACGGGGCTCCAGTCATGGCCCCAGGCTACCCACCACGCCATGTCACTGGCAAATATCGGAGCCCGGTCCAGACACGAGGCTCTTAGGGGTGACCATCTCCCCTTTGACCTGTGATCTGCTGGGGCAGGGAGGTGGGGGTGTTGTGGGGTGGGGTGAGGGGAGAAGCGGATGCGGGACCGGGGCGCCCTGGCATTGCTGAGACTCAGCGGTGCTTAGAGGCCATTCGAGACCTGCCCAGCTGCCCATCAGTGGACGGGGTGGTGAGAGCCCTGGACATGCCCAGACACCCCTCTTTCTGTCTGCTTCTCAACACTGGAAAAGGTTTGCACTTGAAGGTGAGTGTGCCTGCTCCTCACTCCCACTGCCCGTGTCACTCACCGCCCCCCTACCCCCGGCCCCAGGCAGGAGTCACCCTCTGGGCCACACCCAGGCCCCGTAGGCTTAGGGTTCCCTCTGCATCCTGCCAAGTCTGAGGTTCCAGGAATCTGGGACTCCTGGATGGGCCAAGGGTGGGCCGTGAACTTCCAGTTCCTGGGCAGTTGGAACCAGAGCCCAGGGTGGTGGACACTCAGGGAGGAGGACGCAGCACCCATGACCCGGCGTGAGGCCCTGGAGGGTCCTTGATCACCCAAGTCAAGGCTCAGAAGCCTGGCCTGACGCTGAGGCGGTGGCCCCTCTGTCCTCCACCTCCTGTGCAGTGTGTCCCCCCCCCATCCTGACAGTGGGAGATGGGGCTGCCAGGGGCCAGTCTGGGTCCGGCCCTTGACCCCTGGTAGCCCCGGAGCATCTGTCCTCCCAGCCCCCGCCCCCGCTGAGGCCTGGCCTGAGCACTCACCGCACTGGAGGTTGCAGAGCTGCTGGGGAGCGGAGAACTGGACATCGATCCTCCTGCCCTGCAGGTGGGGGCAGGGCAGAGAGAGCAGGTCAGCACAGCCTGCAGCCCGCCCTGCATGGCCCCTCATTCCCTAGAAGCACCACCTGGAGAGGCTGTGGGGCTGAAGGGACCCCCCAGAGCAGCTCAGGGCCCTGGGCAGCTCCTGGCAGGTGGGTGGAGGCTGGGCAGGGAGGTACACCTACCTGGATGCAGGTGCTGGGTGCGCAGGCCTCGTCCCTGGGAATGTCCACAAAGGCCACTGCAGGGTCCTCTGTGGGGTCACCCTGTGTGGGGAGGGGTCGGTCACAGGCAGTGGGGGCGCAGACCAGGCTCCTCCAGGTCACCGTGGCGCTCGCCACCCTTCGCCCCTGCAGGGACTAGCTCCAGACTGCAGGGGAGTTGGGGGTCAGCTCCACCCCCAGGTCGCCAGGACAGTGCCCACCCCACCTGGCTCACAGAGGCCGCAGGGACGGGGGTGGCCTGGAGCAGTCGACGGCAGTCGGGGGGCCACGTCTTTCCCTGGTGACACATGCACACCTGGAAGCGGGCGGGGCTGGACGAGAAGAAGGCCACCCGGAGGCGGCCCGGAGCGGGTGCGGGCTGGACGGTCATCTTCCAGGCTGTGGGGGGCAGGGGTGAGGCCCAGCGCCCACCCACCACTGACCAACACCCTGTGTCTCGCCTGCCTGACCGAGAGGCGTTTACACAAAGGAAAGGGCCGTCTTGGCTACTCCCACACTGCGAGGGCCCTTGACCAGCCTCCCGCCTGCACCCTGGACGGCCCGCCCCTGGACGGCCCGCCCCTGGAGGCCCCGCCCCTGGAGACCCCGCCCCTGGAGGCCCCGCCCCTGGAGGCCCCGCCCCTGGAGGCCCCGCCCCTGGAGGCCCCGCCCCCGGAGCGCCCCCGTCCCAAGGGCCCCGCCCCCTGGAGCCTGGGAGGGCCCCGCCCCTCGGAGGCCCCCTTCCCCTGGAGGCCCGGTCCCATGGAGGGCTCACCTGGGAAGCGCGGCTGCTTGAAAGGGCACCTCACTTGGAAACCCAGGCTCGTGGAGAACTGCCGGGATGGCGAGCGACAGGTGTGGCTATGTGCGCAGCGACAGGCGGGCCTCCTCCACGGCCCTCTAGGACTGGTCACAAACCCCCGCCCCCCCACTGTTGGCCCAGGAAGGGTTAGAAGGGCTGCTAGGGGTCTGGACCCTGGGGCTGGGCAAGGCAAAGGGAGACATGTGGCCGTGGGTCCCTTGTCTGGCTGGGCACGAGGCAGGCTGTGGTCCGGCCCACTCACCTTCAGGCAGAGCTGGGGCTGCGTGTCCACGAGCGGGTACTGCACCTGAGGGGCGCTCAGGTCAGGGCCCTGGCCGTCCATCCCCGCCCCCATCCCTGCCTGGGGGACACTCACCTTGCCGCGGGCCGGCCGGCCTGAGTGCTTCAGCTCGAGGCAGTGGGCCCCTGGCCCTGGCCGCCAGCACAGACTCACACGGCCTCTCATGGGGCAGGCGGGCTCCCAGCTCAGCACCTGGCTCCCCGGGTGGTAGTGGATGGCGTCCCAGAGGCTCTCCGTGTCTGCAGGGACCCTCCCCCAGGGCTGGAGTCAGCAGGACACTGTCCTAGCTGCTGACGAGCCACCGGCAGGCGTCTTCTCCGGTGGCTTTAGGACCAGGCCCCACCCAGTGCCCTTGGGTGCCCTGTCGATGAGCACCCCGCAGCCTCTGGGAGGACCCCCGCCCCCCGCGGCCTTGGCTCTCCCAGGTGGCCAAGCCATGGCGCGCGTGTACGCTTGTGCGCTGGCTGACATGGACGCTTGCATCCACGCAGGGCTTCTACCACCTGGAGGGCTTGCCCAGAACACAGCTCTGACTACTTACTGCCCGAAGCCGTCTCAGGCGCTGAGGCTGGGTCTGCCCGCTCCTCTCAGCCCACGTTGTGTCAGCCCCGCGCTCTGAACCAGGAGCCCCTACTCCTGGGGACCCCGGACTCGCCATCTCCCACCCCTCCCTTCTCGCTCTCCCCGGCACCGCAGGACCCTCACCATCTTTGAAGGGGCAGGTTTGGATTCGCACCGCGTCGGGGGTCGCCGACCAGACCTGCGGAAGGGGCTGGGATCAGCACAGGGTCAGCCCATCTTCTTGTCCACTCTCGGGTGTCAAGGCCGCGCCCTTACTGACCTCAAGGCACAGGCACGACAACTCTTGGCTGTAGGGCAGAGAGACCCTCCGGGAGATACTGTTCCCCGTTACCTGCATCCGAGGGAAGGCGCGTGGGCGCGGGGCGGGGGCTGTGGGCGGGGCTGGGGCTGCGGTTTGGGCAGCAGGAGAGGACAGGGGTGGGCGGGGTCTGGTGGGCGGGGCCGGGGCTGCGTGCGGGGCGGCAGGAAAGGACAGAGGGCAGGTGGGTCCTGGTGGGCGGGGCCGGGGCTGCGGGCGGGGCGGCAGGGGAGGACGGGGCGGGCGGGTCTGGTGGGCGGGGCTGGGGCTCACCAGCACTGGGGTGCCCGCGTCCTCGCAGGTGAACCGCTTCAGACAGAGCCGCGCGAAGTAGTCAGGGCCCCCAGACTCGGGCACCTGTACTAGAACGACCTTGCGGCTGCGGTCCACCCAGTAGGAGAGCTGCTCAGCTGTAGGAGGGCAGGAGGAGGGGTCACGCTGGGGCCAGAGGTCACCACGCACAGGGCTCCAGCTGTCCTGAGAGCCTGCATGTGGTGACTCCTGCCAGACCCAGGCATCTTGGAAGTCGCCTGCCTGGGGACCCATCGTGAGTTCCCATGTGAGGACGGCAGAAGAGCCTGGTAGGAGGCCTGTGGGCGCCCACCACCAGCCGAGGGCCTTCCCAGGGGCAGCGGGGCTGGGTCCCACCTGGGGAGGGGCCTCACCAAAGCAGTCAGGCACATTCTTCCCCACGTCCTCATCTCTGCAGTCTGCGAACGACAAGGGCAGTGTTGGGCCCACTCTGCCCCCCGGGGCCACCCCCCCTCTGCGGGTGTGATTTCCAGAGGCCCACCCCTCCAGGGAGACGGCAACCCAGAGCCAAGCAAATGCACTTGTTGGGACCTGTCCCGCCTGGCCTACCCACTGCCTGGGTGAGTCCTGCCCCAGGGAAGTCTCTGGAGGCTGGAGGGCAATGCTCATGCCAGCTCCCTGGTTCCTACCTTCCATGTGGTATTGCTGGCCCAGCTGGACCCCGCAGAAGTGGGGGACAGTCCTCAGGGTGACGTAGAGGGTCTGGGCCACGCCCACCTCGAAGCAGTCAAAGTGCACCTGGAGCTGGGCAGGGACGGGGTGAGCTGTGGACCTGGGCCTCTACCCCCGAGCCCTGGCCAGGCCAGCTCCACGTCGCACACCTGGGACCCAGAGTCTGGGGTAGGGGAGGGCAGCGAGAACCGCCAGGGGACAGCTGTGCTGCGGGCACAGGCTTGGGGCTGGACTGGCGGGCCCGGGGCAGACGCGGGCCTCACCTGCCGCCCCGCCTGCCGGCGGGAGGCCCTGGGAACCCGCACAGTCTGGCACTGCGTCTCCTGGGTGTCCAGGCTCGTGGAGCAGGCCTCCAGGCCCTGCAGACTCTCTGTGGAGAGAGGGCCCACGGGCTGTCAGACCGAGCCATCCCCTGTGAAGGCAGCGAGCGGGTCTCCCAGCCTGCCCTCAGGTTGCCATGGGCAGAAAAGGAGCCCTGAGCCCCCCGCGCCCCAGGAGTGCCCCGTCGCAGTCACCGTGCAGCGTGAGGGAGGCATTAACACGCAGGAGCAGGAAGCAGCTGTCGGGCGGGGAGCACTTCATGGCGGTGGAGAGCGCCAGGGCCCCCAGCACGGGCCTGGGCATGGATGCTGGGGGTGGCCGGCAGAAGCTGTTGAAAATATTTTCTGTTGGGGGGAGAGGGAGGCTAAGTGCCAGGGTTGCTGGTGCCTGGGCTGTTCCCTGCAGGTGGCCAGGTGGGGAGGGGCTCTGGGGCTGCACAAATCGGGGGTGGGGCCCTCCCTACTTGCCCCAGTGCCGTCAGAGAGCCAGGCCCTGGGCGAGTGATGGGCCCAGGTGGGCCCACCTGCACCATGTGCAGAGCTGTGTGCTGGGCCCAGGAGCGGGGCCCCCACCTGGCCGGCAAAGGGGCAGAGGTGGCCCCCCCCCCAGGCGTGTGGGCTGGCCCCATGGGTTCCAAGGATGAGTAGCAGCACAGGTCTGCAGGGGGCGCCCGGGCCTGAACCCGAGCTCATTGCCACCCTGTCCGTGGTCAGGCGGCAGCACCGGCACAGATGGCTTGGCCCCAGTGGTCAGAGTCCTGGAAGCTGGGGCCGGACCGAGCGCCATGCAGGCAGCTGGGGTCTAGCTTTCAGGCTCTGGGGCTGAGCGGTATTTTTAGTCTTGGCTCTGCCTGATCTGCAGGCAGATGCTTCAAAGTCAGTGGGGTTAGTTCCACGGGCGCCACCATGCCCCGGAGAGCCCTGCACCCCACGGAGGTGGCAGCCCAGGTTCCCTCTGGCACTCAGGACCTGGTGTATCCGGTCAGGTGACATGTCAGGTGGTGTGTGTGCTCAGCGGTGCCTAGGCCCCAGGCACACCCCAGGCAGCATGGCAGGAAGACCTGCCCTCGGGCTGACGGTCAAGGGGAAGCAAAGGACAAAGGTGCCAAGGCCCTTCCTGTGCTTCAGGGGGAGGGGGACACGGGGGACCAGGGTGACCGGTTGAATGCATGAGGGTGGGGGAAGGGCACAGGGCGCACCCAAGGCCGTCTCCCGCCGCGGCAAGAGGAGCCGGGGTGAGGGGTCCCCGCAGCCATGGTTGCTGGACTCCCAGACCTTGGAGACGGGGCCAAGGCACTGCTGCTGAGACCCAGACAGAAGAGCTGGCCATCACTCAGCGGAGCCCCAACCTGACCAGATCAGACGTGACTCAAAGAGGCAGCAGAAACTGTGAGGTCTGAAACGTTCCTGGGAAAGAAACCAGAGCTGTGGACCCCGCTGAGGTCAAGGTGGAGTCACGGAGCTCAGCCTGGACAGCAGGCAAAGTGTGGCCTCAAGACCCTAGGTGTGAGGACATGCAGGACAGTGATGCCCACGGAGGGGCAACCTGGGAGCCTCCCGGAGCCCGCTGTTCTGCAGCGCTGTCAGGGATGGGGGAGCGGCGTTCAGGGCGCCTGGGGCCTCCCCAAGAGAAGAAGTGGGGCAGATCTGGGCAGAGGCAAAAGGCCGGAAGTGGCCAGAGTTTGCAGGACGAGCACGGGAGGATGGCGATGCAGAGAGCCGGGGGAGTGTTTGGCAGAGCAGGGATGCGCGCGTGGACTGAGGAGCGCAGGAGAAGAAGCCACAGGGGCTCTGGGGACAGAGTCTTGTCGGCCCGTGGGGCTGGGCTGTCCCTGCTCCCAGCCAGACTGCAGACCCTGGGCCTCACGGGGCCCTGGTGCAGCGGACACAAGAGGCTTGCTTCCGTGAGAGAAATAACTAGCCGTGGTCACAGCTCTGATCTCACCTAACAGATCTTGAAAGAAGGACCCCAGAAGGATTAACCTGTTTCCAAGTAACGACTGTATTCCAGAAAAGACTCAAGAATATTTGTGAGGATAAAAGTGTATATCTAGCGTGCGTGTGTGCTCAGTCACACAGATTCCGCCTCTTTGCGACCTTGTGGACTACAGGCAAGAACGCTGGAGTGGGGTGCCATTTCCTCCTCAAGCGGATCTTCCTGCCCAAGGGATTGAACCCACATCTCTTGTATCTCCTGCATTGGCAGGCGGATCCTTTACCACTGAGCCATCTGTGAAGCCAGGTAAAAATCCCAATCTACCATATAATAAAAAATTACAAGTTATGCAGAGAATCAGGAAAACAACCTGAATGAGGAAAAAAATCTATTAATTAAAACTGACACAGGTGTTAGAATTAGTAGACAAGAAGATTAAAGCAATTATTATAACTGTATTTCACATGCTCAAAAAGTTAATTAATGGTAGACATGAAAGATTTTTTTTTCAAAAAAAGTCCAACTTACAAGGATGAAAACTGCAATGTCTGAGATGAAAAATACATTAGCTAGATTAATAACAGATTAGCCATTGGAAAAAAAAAAAGATTGGAGAACTTGACATAGCACTAGAAAACACCCAAAAGTAGGTGGAGAGGGATGATGGTGGAGGTGGTGATGGTGATGGTGATGGTGATCGGGTGATGATGTAATGATGGTGGAGGTGGTGATGGTGATGGTGATCAGGTGATGATGCAAAGATGAGGGTGGTGGTGAGGGTCATGGGGTGATGATGTAATGATGGTGGTGGTGGTGATGGTCATGGGGTGATGATGTAATGATGATGGTGGTGGTGGTGGTGATGGTCACGGGGTGTGATGTAATGATGATGGTGGTGGTGGTGGTGATGGTCACGGGGTGTGATGTAATGATGATGGTGGTGGTGATGGTGATGGGGTGATGATGTAATGATGAGGGTGGTGGTGATGGTGATGGGGTGATGATGTAATGATGATGGTGGTGGTGATGGTCACGGGGTGATGATGTAATGATGATGGTGGTGGTGATGGTGATGGGGTGATGATGTAATGATGATGGTGGTGGTGATGGTCACGGGGTGATGATGTAATGATGAGGGTGGTGGTGATGGTGATGGGGTGATGATGTAATGATGAGGGTGGTGGTGATGGTGATGGGGTGATGATGTAATGATGAGGGTGGTGGTGATGGTCACGGGGTGATGATGTAATGATGATGGTGGTGGTGATGGTCACGGGGTGATGATGTAATGATGAGGGTGGTGGTGATGGTGATGGGGTGATGATGTAATGATGAGGGTGGTGGTGATGGTGATGGTGATGGGGTGATGATGTAATGATGAGGGTGGTGGTGATGGTGATGGGGTGATGATGTAATGATGATGGTGGTGGTGGAGGTGATGGTGATGGGGTGATGATGTAATGATGAGGGTGGTGATGATGGTGATGGTGATGGGGTGATGATGTAATGATGATGGTGGTGGTGATGGTGATGGGGTGATGATGTAATAATGGTGGTGATGGTGATGGTGATGGGGTGATGATGTAATGATGGTGGTGATGGTGATGGTGATGGGGTGATGATGTAATGATGAGGGTGATGGTGATGGTGATGGGGTGATGATGTAATGATGAGGGTGGTGGTGATGGTGATGGGGTGATGATGTAATGATGATGGTGGTGGTGATGGTGATGGGGTGATGATGTAATGATGAGGGTGGTGGTGATGGTGATGGGGTGATGATGTAATGATGATGGTGGTGGTGATGGTGATGGTGATGGGGTGATGATGTAATGATGATGGTGGTGGTGATGGTGATGGTGATGGGGTGATGATGTAATGATGATGGTGGTGGTGATGGTCACGGGGTGTGATGTAATGATGATGGTGGTGGTGATGGTGATGGGGTGATGATGTAATGATGAGGGTGGTGGTGATGGTGATGGGGTGATGATGTAATGATGATGGTGGTGGTGATGGTGATGGTGATGGGGTGATGATGTAATGATGATGGTGGTGGTGATGGTCACGGGGTGTGATGTAATGATGATGGTGGTGGTGATGGTGATGGGGTGATGATGTAATGATGAGGGTGGTGGTGATGGTGATGGGGTGATGATGTAATGATGATGGTGGTGGTGATGGTGATGGGGTGATGATGTAATGATGATGGTGGTGGTGATGGTGATGGGGTGATGATGTAATGATGATGGTGGTGGTGGAGGTGATGGTGATGGGGTGATGATGTAATGATGAGGGTGGTGATGATGGTGATGGTGTGATGATGTAATGATGATGGTGGTGGTGGTGGTGATGGGGTGATGATGTAATGATGGTGGTGATGGTGATGGTGATGGGGTGATGATGTAATGATGAGGTTGGTGGTGATGGTGATGGGGTGATGATGTAATGATGAGGGTGGTGGTGATGGTGATGGGGTGATGATGTAATGATGAGGGTGGTGGTGATGGTGATGGGGTGATGATGTAATGATGCGGGTGTGGTGATGGTGGAGATGGTGGTGACAATGGTAAGGAAATAGAACAGTGCTTCGGGGAGCTGAAAGACAACTTCAGGTGATCTAATGTACGTGTAGTTAGAGTCCTGGAAGGAATGAGGGAGTGAAAAAACTCCTTAAAAAAGGATAGAAAATTTTCAAGCTTGGTGAGAACTATACACTCACAGATCCAAGAAGCCCGATGAATGATAAGAAATATGAAGAAATTACAGGCACAGCACAGTCTGTTTGTTCAAAGCCAGAGTAAAGAGAAAACTGTAAAGCTACCAGAGGGAAAGACATGTGAGGCACAGTGGAACCAAGGCAGGGGAGAGGCAGACTTCTTTTGGGGAGCCACGCGAGTGAGATGATGATAGGCAAAGACTCCCCAGGACTGAGAGGCAAAACCCACTGCCCTAGCATCCCACCCCCATCCAGGCCTGCGTGCCTGACTCTCGGCAAGCATGCTTCGAGCCCAGGGGGAATGCAGTCCTTCTGGCAAACAGAAGTCCGCTGGCAAAGAGCGGGCTCGAGCCCACAGCTCTCACAGAACGTAGAGTTTATCCCAAATGGACTGTCAGCTAAACTACCAAACTTTCAAAAAGAAACCTGTTTTTAAAAATCTCTATGACCTTAGGTAAGGCGAAATTTTCTTAGACACAACAGTGAAATTGTGACCCATAAGAGAAAAAATGGGTAAGTTGGATTTCATCAAGCTTTCGAACTTCTGCTCTTTGAAAAACCCCAGTAAAGAATGAAAAGACAGGTCAGAGACTGGGGGAAATATTTGCGAATTGTGTGCCTGTTAAGGAACTTCTGTGCAGAACCCGCAGGAGCTTTCCAAAGTCAGCAAGGAGGAGCCCGACAACACGT